GGAGGGAAAGGGAGGAGGGAGAGGGAAGGGAAAGGAGGGAGGAGGTGGCGGGAGAGGAGCACCAGGAACTAGGCCGGGCCCTGGACAGGCTGCATACAGGCTGGGTGCAGACTAACACCTGGAGACTGAGGCGACGTCACAGCTGATGGACGCGATGAAGAGGACAAGTGTTCAGCCTGAGGAAGAAAAACCAGACATGAACATCAACGGGTTATTACCGGGTTATTAACTGTTTAACGGGTTATTACCTGTTTACCGGGTTATTACCTGTTTAAGGGGTTATTACCTGTTTAATGGGTTATTACCGGGTTATTGCCTGTTTAAGAGGTTATTAACTGTTTAACGGGTTATTACCGGGTTATTAACTGTTTAAGGGGTTATTAACTGTTTAACGGGTTATTACCGGGTTATTAACTGTTTAAGGGGTTATTAACTGTTTAACGGGTTACCGGGTTATTAACTGTTTAATGGGTTATTACCGGGTTATTAACTGTTTAAGGGGTTATTAACTGTTTAACGGGTTACCGGGTTATTAACTGTTTAATGGGTTATTACCGGGTTTACTCTAAAATCATAAAAAATCCTCAAACTCCACGCTTTTGTCTTAAACGTCTCGTTTTGTCCCAAAACCCAAAAATATTCTAGTTTAACAATAAAGACAACAGAGTTTGACTTTAACCACTAATTGATTATCAGGATATTATCGATCGTTGATAAAGATAAAGATTTATGTTGATCAGATGAACTATGAACTCTGTGAATAAACCGTAGAGTTATAATCATCATAACAGAGTTCAATGCAGCATTCTTCTTTTAAATATTCAGTTTATAAAGAATTAAAATCTGAGAATGTGTAGAAACTGATATTTTACTTTAGAACACGTTAATATTATAAGAGAGAGAGAGAGACAGAGAGAGAGTCATAGGTAAACTGAGCAGAACTTTCAGTAGAGGGTTAGGGTTAGACCAGGATCAACCAGACCAGGATCTACCAGACCAGGGTCAGACCAGGATCTACCAGACCAGGACCTACCAGACCAGGATTGGATCAGACCAGGACCTACCAGACCAGGATCTACCAGACCGGGACCTACCAGACCAGGATCAACCAGACCAGGATCAACCAGACCAAGATCTACCTGACCAGGATTGGATCAGACCAGGATTGGATCAGACCAGGATCCCACTGTTTCAGTTTGTCATAAAACTGTAAAACCCTAACAGTGTCTGAGGAGACGCCTCACTCCTCCTTCTTCTTCTTCTTCTTCTTCATGACTCATAAACAAAGCTACGCTAGCTCGTTAGCATCGTGAGATGTAGTTCACTAAAGACGACAAACTGACATGTTCTTCACCTGAAAATAGAGCTTTAAGCTTTAAATATAATAGAACTATATTACATTTGAGATTTATGATTCCTTCTCATTAGATATATTAAAACCGGCCCCCCTCTTCCTCAGTAGTTTATAGTTACATGATATAAAATAAAGTCTCACTGTGAGACATCAGAGAGGTTCTTCATCATCAACACACTGAGGATGATGAGGATCTGTGTGTGTCTGTGTGTGAGTGTCTGTATGTCTGTGTATATGTGTCTGTAGGTGTGTGTGTCTGTAGGTGTGTGTGTGTGAGTCTGTGTGTAGGTGTGTGTGTGTGTGAGTGTGAGTCTGTGTGTGAGTGTGTCTGTAGGTGAGTGTGTCTGTAGGTGTGTGTGTGTCTCACATTACACTAACATCATGGGGTCATTAACGTGTTTCTCTTCTTATTAACTGAATGAGTTGCTGCTTGTTTTGGCAGTTGATGAAGATGAAGATGATGATGACCATCTCAGAGGTCACAGTTTACCTTCTTCCTCCTCCTCCTCCTCCTCCTCCTCTTCCTCACTCACTGACCACCACGTAACGTAACGCTGGCTGAACTCCTACATGTATAAATGTGTGCACACAGACAGGTGGTCCAGTCTCCAGACGGCGGCCATATTGCGCCAGTATTTACAAAAAAAAAAAAACCCGCATCGGGATAAAAAAAAAAAAAAAAAAAGGCGCAAGCGAACAAAGGGAGAGGGGAAGCAGAGGCGCTAAGCTAGCTGCTTTTTACGGTAAAAACGTTAAAAACCGGACGAGCATACGGCCCGGTAACCGGCTCGTTCGTCGGTGCTTCTTACCGGTACAGCAGTCAGCGTCGCCGCATAATCCCGATCAACCGCCGTGGCTCCAAAAATTGATCCGCTCTGCCTCCCGTTTGGGGGTTCTCGAGCAGCTGCGTCAAGCTAGCCGCGCTTAAAGATGGAGGGGAAGGCGGAAGTCGAGGCGGCTCGGCCCTCCAAAATAAAAGCGCGGATTTTTTTGGCTGCGATTGATTTTTTTCGTCTTTTTCTTCCTCCTTTTTTTTGTTGGCGGGTTTGCAATGACAACTTTTGAAGGTGCAAAGCGCCACCTGCCGTACCGGAGTATGTAGACCAGGATCCACTTTACATTAGTCTGTTATAATAATACTCATTTAAAATATATATTTAAATAAAGAAATATATTTAAACATATATAAATAAATACATATTGAAATATAGATAAATAAATATATAAATTTAAATACAGTATATATATATATATATATTGAAATATATAAATTTAAATACAGAAGAATATATTTAAATATATTTATAGAAATAAGTATATATATTTAAATATATTTATTTATTTATATAAATATATATATTCAATTACAAATGGTGTTCATAAAGAAACGTGATAACCCTCTGAGTTACCTTCACCTTTACCTCCATTTGTTTCTGGTATCCTTTCTCTCTAACCCTTTCTTTAATATATTTGACAGTTTATTATGTTCTGTTATAACACGGTCATATTATATTCAGCATTTTCAGTTATAATACAACAAGGATATGTGTGATAATTACTTTTCCCAATAGAGATATTCTTATTTAAACTGGTGGGATTACTGCGTTACCAAATGTCCGTTATCCGCCTCATATTTAATACTTTTAATGCTAATTCATAACCCTTTAATCCCTAATGTGCAGGTAGCCAAACCAATTCTACAACTATTCCCAACCTCTGAATTCTTCTTCATGTTTTATTGTTGCACTATGTTCTTCTTAGTTCACTCCTACAGGGTCCAGAATGACATTTAAAAAAACATAATTTAAAGGTGAGAGTTATTAATCACAGGGAGCTTTTCTCAGGTCTCACATTTTATCTGCACACACACAAGACATTAAATCCACATCATGAAACGAGTAAGGAGCTTCTCCAACGTGTACTGTACTGACAGAGACAAACAACAACAACAACAACAACAACAACAACATGAATTAAAGGAACAGTGTGCAGCAGAGACTTGGAGAAGAAGAGACCTGTGGTTCATGGTGCTGTTAGATTGCTGCTACACAGCAGAGCTTCAGGCGTCTCCTCTCCATCAGACGTCTTCTGTGTATTTTGTCTCATTGTTCTCAGTTTGTGCTGCAGCTCGTGGACGACTCCGGTCAACCGGGAAGTCTTCAGATTCAACCGTCTGGTGGTCTGTCTCTGATTTCAGCTTCTTACGGTAGGTGACCAGTTTCCTCCCCATCGTCTGAACCGCGACATGTAACTTGTTCAACGCCATTTGAGTATCGGGAGCTTCTCCGACACCCGCGTGTTCAGCGGAGGCCGGTACGTCGACACGCGACTCCTCTCCGACGCGGTCGCCTTCCCGCTCGGTCGTCTCGTGCCGCCGGTCGTCGTTAGCGGCACCGCTCACCTCCGTAGACGTGGAGTTGTCGCTAACGGCCACGCCGCAGTACGGATGGTCCAGGTACACCGGGTCACTTACCCCGCTGAGGATCCTCTCCTCCTGGGTCGTGCACGTCCTGTTGGCGCCATGGCGGGAGAAGGTGAAAACGGTCGGGACGGCGGTCGCGTTCAGCCGCCTGCTCCTCCCCGGGGCGCTGTGGAAACACTCGGTGGTGAAATGTAGAGCACATAGGCGCGAGTCGGCCGACGGCTCCCAGTTCTTGCGCTTTACGTTGGTGACCCACAGACGCAGCCTCGCCTCGTGGTGGTGTGGAAACCTGTAGAGCTGAATGTGTTGGTTAAGTGGTGCAAACACACGTTTAGGTAGAACATTTAATACTACAACACTTCTGACCTGAGAGGATCCTTCAGACCCGAACAGCCAATAAAGACGTTATAAAGTATTACAGCAAGTATTTCATTGATTTGTTTCTTCTCTCACTTCTATGGAGATGTTGATGTTGATGTTTATGGACGGTTACACGCAGCTTATTAGTCACAGAGACGTGATGAAGGCGTCACATTCTATGTTTACCAAGTTTATATATTGCATGTACTTGTTGCATGTTCATAATGTATTTATATGAATCTCCCTCACGATGGTTTACATTGTTCTTGTTCCTGGTTGGACGTCTGTCTGAGGATCTGTAAGTTCTGTAAAATGATAAACAAAGTTTAAAAAACTAACTAAACTAAAACTAATCTCAGTTTAGTTAAACGAAGGAGAGGAACTATATGAACACATGTGGAGGACGAAGGTAAAGGTGAGAAACCTTCTCACAGTTCAGCTGGTGTACTTTGTGTCATGGTGTCAGGTTGGTAGTATTAGTTGATAGTTGATGCCCACTTAGAGGTTCTCAGACTTGTTATGCCCCCCCGGAACATAATGACATAACTTTAACATTTCTTTCAGTAATTTTGGACGAGCAACTAAAAAACCGCAACTTCCACTTTAACTGCATTAAACCTTTTATGATTCAAATGAAGCTTCAAATGTCGCTGTCGCCCTCAAACAAGTGAGGAACACATGCACCCTCCCTAGTGTGTGCTGGGAGCAGTTAGGGGTTCAGTGCCTTGCTCAGGGACACTTTGGCACAGGACACGTACTAGCCAAGGATTGAACCGCCGGCCTCAGTCAGTGGACGACCCTCTCTGCCCACGAGCCCAATGTAGTCACGGTGCTGTTAGATTGCTGCTCGCTCGTAGAAAGATCAGGTTTAGTATTGTTGAGGGTTTACTGACTTCAGAGCAGGTGAGATGATTTTGGGGAGCAGCTGCTCCAATCACACAACAGCACGGATCAATAATCAATAACTAGTAGAGAACATGATCAGAGATCTTTCCTTTTGTCCTTTGTGCTGATCTGAACCGTGAGTTTTATGAAGCGTTGCTCTTCTTCTGACTCAGAGTAAAAAGTCGTTTTTTAGCATAAACAATACTTTAGAGGTTTTAATGAACACACTGGAAACAGCTTCCGTGTTGTTTAAACGCTCGTTGATGATGATTATTTTTAACTCTTCTTCTTCGTGGTTTCCATGTTGTTTTCACAAAGTCTGAAGAAAAACTTCCCAAATCAAACAATGTGAACGTCGATGTGCTCATGAACGCATCATTATACACAAAAACAAAGCTGTAAGTATGTTTAGTTCATTCAAAGCTGATCTTTCAAACGTAAACGTTCACTTCTTTAACTGTGTGATTCAGCTAGCTAGCGTTAGCTTAAATAAAGTAGAAACTAATAAATATCTTATGAACATTTGTTGTCACATACCGGAACAGAGGAACTTTGGATCCACTGCGGTCACTTCTCATCAAACAGTTGAAGGCGACACAAGACGGCATTTTACTTATTGTCAACTTCTTTCTGTAAAGATTAAAAAAAGGTGATTTTAGTTTTTGTGTATTTTTCTTTACTGCCTCAAAAATACCACGTTTCTCTTCTGTGACATGTAAACACACATTTAAAATGTTAAAACTCTGAAGAATGATCGAATGTTTGTGTGTTGTTGTAATACTCATATCGGCCACAAGAGGCAGTACAACCACAAACACGTGTTTTAAATAAAGAAGTAGAAGTACACAAAGTACTTTATTGTGTGTTAGCAAGATATGTACATTAAAACAAGTATACTTTAACTACATGAAGCTGATAGTACTTGTGTACTTTTACTGATACTTTGACAACATGAAGCTGATAGTACTGGAGTATTTTTACATGGCAGTATTTGTACCTTTACCTCAGTAACTGAGTACTTCTTCCATCACTGGATCATCCACATTGTTTGGCTTGTTGTTAATACTAAAACATGAGAGTACACATGTACTCATGTACTGTGATACTTTGTCTGATTGATGAAGAGAAAAGTACCACAAACTTTGAGGTATAATCTAACGTCACGTAGTAACCTTCCCGGTATCCCGTTACATCGTAATTGTATCGGTAGTTTATGACTTTAAGTTGAGTTATTATTGTTATTTACCTCAGTGACCTGCGTCAATGAAACGGTCAGCGCGCGTGCTCTCTGGGCCCCACGGATGCGGAAGATCCGGGTACTTCTTCTTCTTCTTCTTCTTCGTCTTTTAATACTACTGTCGCCACCTAATGTACCGGAGTGGGATTACGTAATAAATATATGAATTAATTAATGAATAAATTAATAACTAACAAACTAAATTGACTCAATAAAGAAGTTATATTCCGGATATTAAACCTGTTTCGTTCAAATGTTCAAGAATTTTCACATTTTTATTCTACATTTTGTTCTATTCTCTGTTTATGTTTCGTGACCTTTGCAGTGCTTTGTTGAACTTTTATTTTCTCTCACTGTGTTTGTTGTATCCACCAAATCCTTCGTGTTCACTCGAATTAAAAACCGTCAACTGTTCCGCGCTTCTAAAAAGCTTTTATTTTGTGATAATTTTAACCGGAAGTGTGCTCTCTACCAGGCCTATCGGTTGCCTTGACGCTGGTGATTGTTTGCATTGAAGCAAAAATAAACTCCCTCTTGCTAAATAGTGATCCAGCAGAATGTTGACCGCTCGGTTTGCTGCCGTGTCTTCCTGCCAAATACTGAGATTCTCTGTCTTCTCAGTTTTTTCTTATTTTCTTATAGCAGAATCATTTAACAACATTTGGATTTTGTTTAAATTAATTTAACGTTACCGTCTGCTTCATGCGTGGCTAATAAAAAACAACTGCATTGTAGTGTGCCCGGTGGCCCAGCAGGGGGCGCGCTCTACTCAATAAATGTCTATAAAGGGGCGTAACGTATAAACTGACCCAGTGAGCCAGTTTCATTTCATTTCATTTCATTTCATTTCATTTCATTTCATTTTATTTTATTTTATGTACTAAACTGTATATAAGTACTAGACATCTTGAGCTACACTCCAGACCAGTTGGTGGTGGTAATGCACCAATTCATTGTTTGCCAACCGCCAATAAACCTCAAAGAAGAAGTGTTTTGGTTAGAGGAAAAGGCGTTCGTTTTTCGTACCAGAGCTGGTACACCCGTAAGGGCGGTGTTTAAACGCGTTTAAAGCGTGTCAGACGAACGGTTTACCGGGGAACGTCGGTAAATAAAACATGGTGACAAACTGTTACATTACAATCAGAGCGGAGGAATTTTTTATTTTGTGGGGTGGGGGGGGGGTAAAAAGCCGACGAGCTGCTTTAGTTACTGCCGTTATAAAAGTCCATGATAGCGATAGACACGTAAGCTAACGCTAAGCTAGCTATAATTCGCCCTGGAAGAGACGGAGAACCCTCCGGAGGATGCCGAGACACGGGGACTGGATGTGAAGATCGTTACGGAAAGATGTGAGATGAACCGGGAGAAAACCACCGCCATCGAGGAGGCCAACGACATCATGTTGGTCCGGAGCCCGGTGAGAGGAGCGCTTAGCATCGGCTGGTTAGCAACAGCTAACCTAGCTAACAGCTAACATGAAGCTAATCAGTTGACAGCAGTTGGAATGTGCTGTCATGGCTGTTAGCTAGCTGTAAATGAAGTGCTACTAGCTAGCTAGTAGCTACAAATATTATTGTGTGTGTGTGTGTGTGTGTGTGTGTGTGTGTGTGTGTGTGTGTGTGTGTGTGTGTGTGTGTGTGTGTATGTGTATAT